GAAGAAGAAGAAGAAGAAGAAGAAAGATTAAAAAGAAGTAGATGATGATGATGATGAAGAAGAAAAAAGATTAAGAAGATGATGATGAAAAGAAAGGAGAAAGAGAAGAAGAAGAAGAGAACTGAAAAGTGGAAGAAGTAGCAAGAAAAAGAAAGACTGAGTTAGAATAAGATGATTATGAAAAGGAAGGAGATAAAGAAGAAGAGGAGAAGAAGAGAAAAAGAAGTGGCAAGAAGAAGAGAAAGAGTAAGAAGAAGAAGATGATAATGATAAAGAAAAGGAAGAAGAAAATGAAGAGTAGGAGGAGGATGATGAAGCAGAAAGAGGAGGAGGAATAACAGGAGAAGATAAGCCGAGGGAGAGGAACTAAGAAAAGACTAGTAGCAAAAAATGACTAACAAAGATAAAGGTAACTCAATAAAAATATTAATTTAAAATCCAAATATTAGAGTAATTGCATCCAACCCATGAAATGCGAAAATGATAATGCTTTAGGATAAAATGTATTATATTATAAACGTAAATATCTTAATACATACTAACCTCTGGGTTGCCTGGATTGGTCGTATATCACTATCCCCATATCATTARAATATCCCACATTATAATACACTCCAGAATTCCCCCCATTCTTGTTTATAGTTCTAATCCTGGTGCTAAAACTCGCTGAATCACTCCAGTACAACAAATCTCCCAACATATCCAAACTAAACGCGTGAATATCAAAAAAAGATCGATGTAGAACGCGGTTTTTCCCGTTAAAATCGACTGACATGATTTGATCCTGCATACTGTCAATCCAGTACAGGCGGTTGTTGGCGTAATCGATCGCAATCCCGTGTGGCCAGCGTTGGTAGAGCGGACTTAGATTAACTATTGTTGTCTGGTTATGGCCAGATAGTGTGGCTTTCTGTATTCTTGGTCTTGAACCTAAGTCTGTCCAGAACATTATCCTTTAGGAAAAAAGAAATTTGGTTTTAAAAACGTAACTTGAATGAACTTTTTTCCGAGAAAATCTAGCTTTATGAAACATAATTTACATCTAGAATAATTTACAAAGCTCAAAAACTTATTTTGTTTTAGCTTATTTTCAGTTTTGGCTTTTATTGACTTGTACACCATTCGGGCTTCGGGTCGAAATGTTAAATAAATGAGTCTGTGATCAAAGAACACAGCGTTATTTTACTTATTCAAAAACAGTCACCATCTGATAATCATTATATTGTACCAGTCCTCACCCATTCCTTGGATCCACAGCTATCCCATGAGGATTGATAACACCAACGTTCACTAACGTCTTCCTCTTCATACCATCATACGTCACCACACTGATCTCTCTTCGTCCATAATCCGTCCAATAAACAAGCTCTGTCTCCCAGTCCACAGCCATCCCATAAACAGTAGTAATATCCTTCGTAACAACATCTTGGACATCACCGCTCGTGAAGTTTAGACTCTGAATGACGTCACGGCTTAGGTCACTCCAAAATAGAATTTTTCTTCTGATGTCAACAGCAATGGCGGCTGCTCTGCGGAGATTAGACTTCACGGTTGACACTGATGAGCCACCATGGCTCAGCTGAAGTAAATTTATCGTTGTTGTGTCGGTGTAAAATAGACAGGGAGGGGAGGGACAGGGGTTTGTCGCTTGTGTGCCTGCGAAAGAATGAACAAAAGAAAAATGTTACGAAACGAGAAAGTGATCAATATAGTTTAGTTTTCTCCAGGGTTTTAATTGTTTTTACTTTAGAAAATCCATGAAAATTTTTTCAACTGTTATCTTTTATTTATTTATTTGACTTTTTTTTAACACGTATGCTAATCTGAATTTTTAGCGCCATTGTGACTTACGATCCGAAAAATTGGTAGYCTTCAAGTAAGTCTCAAACTCTCACTCTGTACTTGTTTAACTAGCTCTTGTTCTTAGAGATTGGTTGTATTGAGAGATATTTTAAATCTTTTGATTCACGTGTTCTAACTTATGTCTTATGAACGATTCCGTGTATAAAGTTGGCTTCGTTTTTCTTTTCCTTTTTACGGCTTATCTTATTTTGGCTCGTTATTATTTGCATGACGAGAATTATTTCATGCATGTCAATATAATATATTGGCTGAAAGTAACTGGCGATACTAAAAAAAATGGTTCATCGCTAATATCGATATATGACAATATAACAATAATTATCAGTTTTCGTAAAAGTTAAGCGTTGAAATTATAATTATCTGAAGCCTTAAGCAAGAATACTAATATTGAAAAGGCCCTGAAACGTCATTTAAAATGCTGTCGATAACGCAAATATGAACTGCACAATAAAGTCTTTCAAACATTTGCTCATTCGATTTTTTTTCATTACAAAATTTCTATTATGCGGGTAAACTGCACTTTTGTGAATTCTTTTCAGTTTTATCTGCAAGTTTCTATCGGTTTCGTACTTGTTTTTAATCTAAACTTCCGAATGCCTTCGAGCGAACAAACTACTACATTGATTATATTATAGTTATATTCCTTTCCGATTAAATGGACTTAATGGTACAATTCGTAAATCTTTCGTTGTTGTTGTTGAATCTTGCATGGTTTCGGGTAACTGAAAAATTCTAAGGTAAAGTTGAGAAAACTTGAGGTAATTTTAATTTTAATTGGTTTGAATTCATTAATATTTAGTCTAAAACAATGGCGTAGTAACAATGTTCTTCGATCATGCATCATTCGTCTTGTTTCTCGTACAAAACACACCAGTCCTACGATATTCACAACTTACTGAGTGACTCAGTACTCACCTTCCAAATGAAGAAATAACAATGAGAATAAAATTAAAACCATTAAGGCCTTAGAAATGCTATTTATTAACTTCCTCATAGCTTGAAGATTTCTTCAGAGTATCGAAGTTGTATCTGTTAAGCTCCCATTATTTCTTCAATTCGGAGTATTCTGCAATGAACAAAATTCAAAATTATTATGGAATGAAACTTAAAGAATATCATAAATTTTTAAGTCAGAACAGGAGCTTAAGAGCCACTTACTTTAGCTGTCAAAATAGCAAAGCTGGGACAGTATATTTTTCCAGAGAGTATGAAATATATGAATATCGTATTAAAGCTTGTCAGTCAGTCTGTTGAGCTACGAGTTCTCTCACGATTCATGACAGTGCAAAAATCGCTCATTCGTTATGGTTGTCAAGGAAACGGGATATACATGTCGACCTTAATTGGTCGTAGCTTTTATYGTTGTATATAAGAATAGTAAAACACTATATTTGGATGAGTTTTTTTGAGAGATGCTGTCGAACAAAATAATTGATCGTGTCATTAATGCGATTTTAATCGCGGAACATCGCATACGATGCAAGGTAGTGAAAGAGCTTAGCATTCGATTTTTGTCGTTATAGA